CTGATAATATTGTTTAGTTTTAGGTAAGGTTATCCCTTAACAGACTTACCAAAGTTTGAGTTGGATTCTGTTCTGTTTTCATAAGCTTGTTTCTCAGACTTGTTCCTGGACCATGGTGTTTAAAGGATTAATTAGGCTTTATTTAGTAATTGGTCCAAGAAATGCTATACATTCTGTGCCCCCCTTGAGATTCCTAGTGTTTGTTGTTATTAAATATTTTGACTTAAGAAGTTCAATCCAATATTTCCTAAACCACCTACATCATAAACTCTCCTTCCTCCCATTTATACATTAAATTTTGTGAACTGGGCCAGGTTTTGGCGGTGGCGGCACACACCTTTAATCCCAGCACTAGGGAGGCAGAGGCAGGTGGATCTCTGTGATTTCGAGACCAGCCTGGTCTACAAGAGCTAGTTCCAGGACAGCCTCCAAAGCCAGAGAAACCCTGTCTCAGAAAACAAAACAACCCCCCCCCAAAAAAACCCCCAAAACATTCTTTCTTTCTGAAGATTTTTCCAGGCCAGTCTTCCATGTGATATTCTCTTTCCATCGATTAGGTAACAAGTGTTAGGGATGATACTTGGCCTGCCCCTGGGCTCCCTGGGTGCAGTTGGTGTCCTTCCCAGCTCTGGTACATTATTGGAGCATAGTCAGAGAAGCATCTTAACACACAGAATTGCTGCGACCATACCCATAGCATCTGCACTGGAACTGGAGGCCACCTGTCAGCTTTGTACCAGAGTGTCAATGAGCCTTCTCTTCAGCAAGCTTGCAGGTGGTGAGCTGTGTCGGAGTCCAGTGGAGCGGTAGAGCCTGCACTGATGTGGCCTGGATGGTTCAGGATAATCGTGAGCACTGAGGTTGCTACTTCCAGAGACAGGTCATTTCTTTGCTGTCCCATGCGGCATGCATTGCCTGGACAAACATTTGATGGACAGCTCCCTCAGCTTCACGCAAAGCCTCATGGTGTATTTCAACACACTTTGCTTCAGTTGTGACAGTGGCTGGAGAAAGGCAGTCACCACACTGTGTTTGAGAATTCTGATTTCCCTCAACTCACAGGGACCTTATCAACACCACCAGTTTTGTAAACCTTCTGGAAGGACAGGCACAAAGGCTTGCAGTTGGACAAGTTGGTGGCAGGATACCGTCTATACCTGGTGTGGTTCCGCTTGCATTGCCACCTTGTGAGGGATGTTCCACCCAGTGAACCAAAGCATGGTAGCACTTGACTTAGACCAGGAATTTGGCCCAAATGCTACAGTGTGAGGCTTGTAGCTCATTTCTTAGTATAAATGCTGCCTTCCTAAAAAGAACTTTGTCCCTCTTCTGGCCATAGGGATCAACAGTTAGTTGTTTCATACCAAGTATATAAGCTAGGAGGTATGCTCATGTACCTGCCAGCTTTTTTAAATTTCAAGACAAGGTTTCTCTGTGTAGCCCTGACTGTCCTGGAACTCACTTTGTAGAGCAGGCTGGTCTAGAAGTCAGAGATCCATCTGCCTCTACCTCTCTCTCAAATTCTGGGATTAAAGTCCTTCACCACCACCATCCAGTGGTCTGTCAGTTTTTTGAGAGCCCAGCTTTAAATTTGCCAACACCAGCAGCAACAGTGTAGACATCATAGGCAGTCTGCAGTGAGACACCTGTTATCGTATTGTTTAAATAGAAGTCTGTGCTCTGGGGCATCAGTCATAGTCACTCAACACTTGCAAGTCTCCCGAGTCTACAGATGTCACTGGTGATGGCTGCTCGTGCTCAGCCCTTACTTATCCTAAGACCCAGATATACTTGAAGGAGCCCTTTCCCATCTCACCACCTACTTCACATGCTTTCAGGTTTTTCTGAGATTTATTTTATGTGTCTGAGTGTTTTACTTACATATATGTGTAATATATCACATGTGTACCTGGTGCTTAAGGAAGTCAAAAGAGGGTGTTAGATGACCTACAACTAGAGTTGATAAGAAATGTCATTGAACAGATTTTAGCAATCTGTAAATTAGGTCATTAAAAAAAAGTCCCATTTTAGTGTAGATTTTACAGAATTGGCTGCAGATCCTGTAGGGATAAAATCAGTATTTTTGAATTAAATTTGGAAGAGAGACTACAAAGTACAAAGTTAATGTACCTAGAGTGAAAGTTCTTACTCATTGCCATGGCTATAATTTAAAAGTATTTGAAAATTTTATTACTTTCATAGATTCAAATGTATTTGCTATCTACTGAAATGTAACTTAGACTTGAAGTCGTTTTCCGTAAAGTACAAACTCTAGTAAGGAAGTGATGTCTGCTCATAGTTCATGAAGGGGACTGTGACTTGAGGCAGAGAATAGGTGTTTAAAAAGGTAGGGGCCAGTGTCTGATAGATAGGGGACTTGTTGTTCTAGACGCACCTCTAGTTGCATCTTAGTCTATAGATTTTAATTTAGTTTATAAGCTTTTGCTACTACAAGACCTGTTTAGCAGCCTGGGGCATTGCCAGAATGGGAATAAATAGGAATTAACTGTTAGCTGTGCCCTGCTAGGCAAAACTAATTTCTTCCTAGCATTTTTGACTCCCAAACATGAGAACAGGGCAGATTTGGTCATCTCACACTGTGTATTCTTAGCATCTAATATAATTGCTTATGGAATAGACTCTTAAGCACTGGCTGAATCTATTCTTATGAGATTGTCATAAATATGACAACATGGAAAGAGGCATCCTCTGTAGCTATCCAAGGGCTGATCTGTGTTGGAGTAAGTATGTGGCCAAGGACAGGGAAATTACTGCAAAGCAGAAACCAGAGAGATTTGAAAGTTCCATGTCGCACAGGGAACTGCTTATGAATTTCCATGATACCCTGGCCTTTATCTGAATTGCCCTTGTTTATTATTTAGCAGAAGTTGTGGGCATGCAAGTTGTGGGGTGCCAAGAGGTATGCATTTCTAAAAGGCTTTATGTAGATGGTTGTTTTGCCTTCATGTTTGTCTGTCTGCTACTTGTATGCTTGGTGCCCACAGATACCAGAAGAAGGCATCAGATTCCCTGGGACATGAGTTACAGACAACAGTGAGACACCATGTGGGATCTAAGAACTGAATTCAGATCCTCAAGATGATCAGCCAGTGCTCATAACCAATGAGCCATTTCTCTAGCCCCTATTTTTTTTAAATTGTTTTAAACGTGTGTGTGAGTGTGCAAGAGAGAGAGAGAGAGAGAGAGAGAGAGAGAGAGAGAGAGAGAGAGAGATAACTTGCATGAGTCAGTTTCTTCTTCCACCATGTATATCCCACGATTGAGTGTCAGAATTTGGTGACAAGGACCTTTACCTGCTGAATCATCTCCCTGCATCTCCCCCCACCACACACACCTTAAAGACAAGGTTTCTCTGTGTAGCCCTGGCTGTCCTGGAGCTCACTGTGTAGACCAGGCTAGTCTTGAAATTTCATTGAGTTCCTACTGCATGTGTCTGCTGGGTGCTGGGGTTGCAGGTGTGTGTCGTCACAAGAGTGTGTGGTATTTATGAAAGATGCAATGGGAGTAATCATCATACATGGTGGGAACTCTTTCCTGGGCGGCTGTAAGCACGTGTGTATCTCTTTATTAGAGGGTACCAACAACAGACAAAAGTACGATTCTACTGAGGTTAGACAGTCATTCTTGCAGAGCATGGTCAGGGATTTACTTTTTTAGGCGCTCAGCGGCCACACCACCCAAAGTCTCACCCTATGGAGAATGACGACTTTTGCATAGCTGCTTATATGGAGTCTTCTGCCAGTTAATCTTCCACAGAGACCACAAGACCACGTGCAATTCAGGATGGAGTCATACTCAGTGGGCAGGGAGAGGAAGCAGAGAGGGGGTGTTTAAGACATGAGGTTGAGGGCCTGATGATCCTCCCCTCCCCCTCCTATGAGGGAATGCCAACAGTTAACAGGCCCCGTCTTGAGGGTCTCTTGCAGGTGCTCACAGCTGCTTTGATGAAGATGATGGCTCTTCTGCTCCAAGGATAGTACTAGACAACAACATAGAAAGTAGTATTTTGGCTGAGTGAGAGACAGGGGAGAGTACTTCCTGCCAAACAGATGGTCTACGAGGAAAGGCTAAGAAAGCTATGGAGTTCAGGCAAAGGAGGAGATGGTCCTGAGTGTGAGGGGCCAGCCTTGCATGTGCTTTTGCCTCTCTGTTCCTTCTGTATGTGCAGCCCTCCACTTCTTACTGTACCGCAAACAATGGGAACCAGTAGAGGATTTTAAATAGCCAAGTGACATCAGAAATGTCTTTGTCAATTTTAAGGCCATTATAGGGCAGATTCTAGAGGGATGGATTTTGGAGGTGGTTGTAGTCCAAGCAAGAGATGGAGCTTTCCTGCTGTGACTCCATTTACATCAAATACTGGGATAACTGATTATTAGAGATTAGTGGTTGCCAGGAGTTAGTGGGGAGGTATAACAGGAAGGAATTATTCATGTATATGGGCTTTCTCTTTGAGGTTCTTGAGTTAAAAGTGATAGTTGTACTGTCTTTGAATGTACTAAAAAGCACCAAATTACATTCTTTATTAAGACTGTACAACTATCACTGTACTACCCTGAACACACCTGCTCTCCTTTAAAAATGGTGAATTATCTCTGACACTTAAATTATATCTCAATTTAAGAGGGAGACCCTGAAACAAGCATCGTTTGACACACTCAGGGAGTTTAAATATTAGCAGTATCGAAAACGAAACAGTAGCCATTTCTCAAGTTCTTAGTTGGTACAATTGAATTGACAAGCACAGAAATACAGGAATAGAACAAATTTTAAGGAAATAAGTAGTGAGCTGTGTATTAAGTGTGTATGCTGGCCCTGATTTGAAGAGAGATATTCGAGTCTAGGCAAAGCAGGGAATGTATGAAAATTGATTGAAGTCAGGCAAACTTGGAATATGTGTCCTATTGTGCCTTGTCACCAAGTCTGGCATTTAAGTACTTTTGTCCTCATATAAAGCTGAGATTTATGTTACTTTTCAGGCAGAAGCAAGGCTAGCAGCAAAGCGGGCTGCCCGGGCAGAAGCAAGAGACATTCGCATGAGGGAACTGGAACGACAGCAAAGAGAGGTAACGGGAAGTGTGATCTTAGCCTGTGCGAGGGCCTGTGTGTGGTTTATTGGGGTGAGGGATAAAAAAATAGGATGCATGAAGGGGAGCTCTTACTGTCTCGAATCTCCATTTCCAGGGCTCAGGAGTACAGAGGACTTTTGTGAGACACAAGGCATTACAGTGAGATAGTGATAGGGAAATCCTCAGGTTGGACACCTTTCTCTTCAGGGTGCTGTCTCTTCCACCTGAATGTAGATCTAGGCATTGGCTCTCATAGGTCAGCAGCTGCGTTTTCTTTTTAGATAACCCAGGTGAGAGTGAACATAAAGAGAGGGGGGGCATTGCGGGCAGTATATAAAAAGGGTGGGCTGTTAAAAGCCCTGGGGAAGCCCTGGGTCCCAGGGTGGTAAAACGGAAGACCCCTTCATTCTTTACTGCACAATCCCAATCCTCTGCCTTAAAGGAACCAGCTCAGGAAGTCTGTATTTTCTTACTTAGAATGGTTTCTGCCCTCACTGTTACCATCCTTACTGCTGGCCCTTCTATTAGGATGTGGGGAGACACCTCTATAAATGAGGAGCGGCCTGGAAGTTTTAGAATGGAAGGTTTTGACATGCCATATGTGCCAGTCCACATGGGAACATCCCTGTGAGCCCTGATCTCCCTAGCTAGCTAGATGTATCCTCACACTTAAACATTCTGAAGCCTATTTAATAATGTAGGAAAATGTAAAATTGGCAGAACACCCCCAAACAAACCAAAACATCCAGTGCCAAAATATAGGGTCAGAAAGAACTGGTTTAGTCAGTACTTTAGTTTGACAGTGTGGAATTATAATTGGTCTTATGTTTTTCTGTAGTCTACAGATTTATATTATGCTTTTGTCATTAGAAAAGTAGAAAAAATTAGAATAGGTAAATGAAAATTGAGCTAAGATGACATACTGGTTAACTTTCTGATATCAACTTAAGTCTGAAAATTCTCACAAATATTTTGATGCTGTATTTATAAAGGGGAAACACCTGTGGACAAGTAGTAAACAATTTATTTTCATGTTATTGGAGGATTTTTCTATTGACAAATTTAAAAAGGATATTTAAATATTTGTGTTCTATGTTGATGTAGTTTTCTCCTGTTGGTTATATTTTCAAATATCGGATGCAGTTCTTGGTTTGAAATTTAATGTTCCAATGCATTGTCTTTTTTCTCCTAAGATTGTACTAAATTATGAATAGAAGAGATAGTTATTAACAGAAGTTCTGTCTATGCAGAGAACCATATGTCTTTTTGTTACTGAACATATTTAGCTTAGTAATTTCTTATATTTTCAAAGTGTAGCTTTGAGTTACCTACTGTTGTTGTCTTAGGCAACTGTATGCAATTAAGATTTTTTTGGAGAATGCGATATATTGAAAACCATTTAGTTTATAAAACTTTTGTATTTATAGCCCTCTCATCATTGCTCTGACCGGAAGTGGGGACAGATTCAGAAGTGGCTGGTAGGCCAGGATTGCCTGTCCTGCATGCTCTGATAAACTGTTGAACTAATGCAACATTGAAGCAAAACATTGACTAATGGTTTGCAAAGTAGGCCTTGGTTTGTGTGTCCTAAAGGTCACAGAGCAGCTGTTCTGTGTGTAGTAGACCAGATGGGTACTCAGAGTCCAACCATTTTCTTTGTGGCCGGTGGCCTCACTTTCAACTCATGAAAGTCGAAGATCAAGAAAGAATGAGTAAATGAATGTATGCTTTAGTAGTTTAGGCCAGACTAGAAAGTACTAAATACAAACAAAAGCATATATTGAAAGTCTAATATTTCATTTTTCTGTTCAGGAGTTGTGAAGATAACCATTTAAAAGAATCATTGATATGTGTGTGTCAGTGAGAGTATTAGACTTAGGAGGTTTTTGGTTTGAGGTTTAAAATGTAGTTGCTTAACGTGAGTCTTGACTGATATGTCGCCAGGATTGGACATACGCACAAGGTGGGAGTTTACTTCAGAGGAGTAATTACTCCTCCTCTCTCCTTCTGTCCCTGTTCTTTACTCCTTTCAAATTGATTCTTCCTCTCCCTCCCTTCCTTTGTCTTTGGCTCCCTTGCTTGTGAGCCCACAGGTGTGATGTTCTAGAAGTGGCTAATAAGTTTTTGGTGAAGTCTATGGTGAATAACCACACATTGGACTCTCTATTGCTAGATGATTCCTTTCATGCCAAATATTTCCCTTGACTCTGTCTGTCTGTCTGTCTGTCTGTCTCTCTCTCTCTCTCTCTCTCTCTCTCTCTTTCTCTCTCTCTCTCTCTGTGTGTGTGTGTGTGTGTGTGTGTCACACTTGGCTTGCTGGGATGTAAGTAGGAAGTACTAGGAACATGAAGCTCAGCTCAGGAATGAAGGAAGCTACTGTGTGTCAGCACCATGCTGGAACTCTTTACCTTGCTTTACCATAGGGGACACTTGCCATTTTGTAGATGGGCTCTTTAGGTTTTTTTTTTGTTAACTTAAAACAAATATAGACATACCTGGGGAGAGGGAATCATAACTAAGGGATTTTGTCCATCAGATTAGTCTATGGCCATGTCTGTGAGGCATTTTCTTAATTACTAATTGATATAGCAAGGCCCAGCCCACTGTGGGTGGCACCATCCCTAGGAAGGTTGACCTACCTGTATAAGAGAGGTAGCTGAGCAAGCCAGAGGAAGCAGTGTAATAAGCAGTGTTCCTCCATGGTCTCTACTTCAGTTCTTGCCTCTGGGTTTCTACCCAGATTTCTCTCACTGATGAACTGTGACCAGTAAGCCATACAAATCTTTCCTTCCCTAACTTGGTTTTGGTCAGTGTTTCATCACAGCAGCACAAAGCAGACTAGGACGAGACAAAAAGGAGAGGTATAGTGACATAAGTAGCCTGTTTAATCATTGGCAGAGTCAGATAAGGTAGGAAGGAGAGCCACAACTGCTGACAGAGGTGGAGCAAGCAGGGGGAGGGCTGGAACCTCCCTGGGTTTCTGTACGGCCCTGCGTAGCCAGCTTTCCCTGTTTCTCATGACCCTGATTTTAAGTTGTAGGCCTTAGTCAGCATCATGTTGGTATGTGGCTGGAAGAGTAAATGCTGTTTCTAGTGTTTTCTAATCTGAAACTGAAGGAGCAACTCCAGCCCCATTTTAAAAATAATGTCTATAGATGGAGAAGATGGCTGGGCATGTTCTTCGGGCTGTGATTTTCTTTTATTCAAACCACTTCACCTCACTTTAAGTGAACTTTTAAAAAGAATGTGCTTCATTTTCATTAACCTAATTTGAATATAACAAGATAATTTCCCAGAAAGTTTTGTTTTGAACTTTTTGTGCTTTATTGATTCTTATGAGAAACTCAGTCATCATAGATAACTTCATTGCAGAATCTTTGCTCCATCTGTATTTTGCCATTGTTGACACTGGCTGTTTATCCAGGACTTAAAAATTTGAGAATACTGAGGCCTCACTTAGACCAGGCAGAAGCTCTGCCACTGAACTTTATCTCCAACCTGCTTTTCACTTTTTGAGACAAAGTCTAAGTTGTCCTGGCAGAAATAGTCTGCTGATCATGAACTTCCTGGTCTGGGTACTGAGGCTATCATCCATGATAGTGGCCAATCCTTAGACAGCCAGGGAGGAAAAGACTCCCAGAAGTTTGGGCTAAATATGTCCCTGTCATTTAAGGCATTGTCATGCTTGGGCTGTTCAGTCCTAATAAGGTCACCAGGATTATGAGAGTGGTTGTTTTCCATGACTGTGTATTTAGTACCCAAGAACACAGTTTGCTGCCATCTGTTTTATTAGCTGCTGGTGCTACTGCTTAAGGAAGAGCCACTGACTGTTCTGTGTAGTATTGTAGTTCCTACCTGGACAATGAAGAGGGCTGTTCTTCCGTGGAAGAAAGCCCTGTGTTGTTGTTTCTGTGTAACTGAGCCAAGCAAGGTGGACTCTATGGTGGATGTTGTATTCATGGTTCTGTTTGGCTGAGTCTGAGGATCTGAATACCGGCCCCAGCTTTATGCTCTGGGAGATTCCCCCTTTACCTTTCTTGTGATAACTTTCTACCCTCAAGATGAGGGATCAGATAAGACCCTCTCCAAGGATTCCAGAGCCTAACGTGGTGGTGCCCACCTGTAATCCTGGCAGTTGGGAGGCAGAGACAGGATGGTTGCCATGATTTTGAGGCTATCCTGGTTTACTGAGTGAGATCTGTCTCAAAAAACAGAATCCTGGAGTAGTAACCAAGGTCTTTCAGACAGTATTTCCTTCTGATTTCCTCACATTTGCCACTTAGCTGCTTTTCACAGTGAGGAGATAATTAAAAACAGCCTTGGTGCTACTGAGAAAAGATGCTTTTCAGCTCTTAAGGCATGATAAAAATTTGCTTTGTGTTTTCCTTACTATTTTACCTGAACGTGCGTTTTTTTAAGTTGGATTAGAGAAGTGCTCTGCATTTTGGTAGCCTTAGTCACGCACAGGTAATTAGATTTAAATTGATTAGAATTAAATTTGATCTGGAATTTAGTTTTTCAGTTGTGCATTGTATTAGGGTTTTCTAGAGGAACAGATTCCATGGGATGAATAAATGTAAAAGAATTTATTAAATTAACTTAAAATAGTAACAGCAGCTGTCTCACACTTGAGAGGCTGAGAACCAGGTAGTTAGTTGCTTAGTCAGTTTCACTCAGTGCTTCAGCAGTTGGAATCATTGCACAGGAGCTGTTTTCTAGCTGTTGTGAGGTCAACAACTTGGTGTGTGACCCGTCTAACAGACGGGGTGCCTTGCCAATCTGGATGTGGTGCCAAAAACCTGGAAGGTTCCCAGAGAACCTTAATCCTTGCTTGGAAGTCTGGAGAGACTGGTTCTGCTGTCAGTGGCCCAGCAGGGACAGGAGGGTCAAATCAACCCTGCAGTAGAAGGAAAGGCCAAGTTACCAAAGGCAATGGTTTCCCTTTGCCACACCCCTTTTTATCTGAGCTTCTTCTAGAAGGATCTGCTGGCACTCTGGGTGGGTCTCCCATATCTGTTAAGGCGGGACAGTTCTTCAGTTGAGGCTCCCTACTTGGGTAATACTGATTGATTCTGGCAAGTTGGACCTTCACACAGTTCCAGCATGTCAAGTAGTCAGCCACATGTGGCTAGTGGGCTACCATAAATATCACACATATAACCGTTTCTGTCATCACTATTGGACAGTGCTGGTTTAAAGTATGGCTTTTGACTATGAAATAAATGAGTCATATTCTTTGTGCAAATGACTGGACAGTATGAAACATGAATCTCTGTAGCCTCTTTAGGTCCAATTTTCTTTCTTTCTTTCTTTCTTTCTTTCTTTCTTTCTTTCTTTCTTTCTTTCTTTCTGTCTGCTCACCCACACGCCCACCCACCCGTCTGCCTGCCCGTCCATCTATCTCTCTCTCTCTTGCCAGGTGGTGTGGTGGCACACGCCTTTAATCCGGCACTCAGGAGGCAGAGTCAGACGGATTTCTGTGCATTCAGGGCCAGTCTGGTCTACAAAGCGAATTCCAGGACAGCCAGGACTGTTACACAGAGAAACCCTGCATCAAAAAAAAAATTACCTGATTTATTCATGTTTTATTTTATAAGCATCTTCCCTGCATTTATGTAGGAGGATCACTTGCATGAAAAGCGCCTGGAGTGACCAGAAGAGGACCTTGGATTCCCTGGAGTTACAGATGGTTCTGAGGCTCCATCTGGGTGCTGGGAACCAAACCCAGGTCTTTTGGAAGATCAACAAGTACTGTTAACCACGAGCCATCTCTCTAGTCCCTGTGTCAGATTTTCACTGGAATTAAAAAGAAACGCTTTGGGTTGGGGAGATGGCTCAGTGGTTGAAAGCACTGACTGCTATCCAGAGGACCGGAGTTCAATTCCCAGCATCCACATGGCAGTTCTGGGGATCCAACACATACATAGACACAGACATACATGTAGATAAAACACAAATGTATATAAAATAAATAAATGATTAAAATAAAAAGAAAAGCTGATTAAATATAGAAGTATACCAATATTTAACAAGATTTTATTATAATTATTTTGATAATATAATTGCAAATAAATAGGGATTCATCTTTCCTTGTATCATTGATGGGGATGTGTTCTTCAGATGGACTTTTGTTTATTTGCTTTAAATACAAGGTTTTAATTATGCAGCACTGACTGGCCAGGAAATGACTTGTAGACCAGGTTCATCTCAAACTTAGAGATCTTCCTGCCTCTTAAACGCTGGGATTAAGGGAATGCACCATCATATCTGGCTAGATGAGTTGTTTAGAAGTATTCTATGGTTGGTGGAATGGAAAGGAAGGACAGAGTAAAAGGGTTAGATAGATATTCAACCTTGGATATCAGCTTAGTACCCCAAATGACACTGAGGGGTGTGTAAAATTAATTTGACTGTGTGAGCCAAGGCTTTCTGGTTAGTTTGGAATCAGTTACCACTTAACACTGTATGCTCTGCTCTGCTAACTCACATGTCTCCAAGACTTTTGTGGTATCACTTACAAAAAGTGTAAATTGGTGACTAATGCCTAGAGATCACAATACCCTGTTGGAAATCAAGTCACCGAATCATCATGGTATCTTTGAATAGACTTAGGGACATGTTTTTATCAAGTGTAGCAGTGTATACAGTGGATGTCAAAAGATTATATTTTTTTTAATTACAAAGATTGAGACCAAAATGGAGCAGTAAACTGTGGCACTTTGGCTGAATTATGATTTCTGTTTAGAGATGAATGGCCAGAGATAGCCCTATCTTTTTTGCAGCTGCATAGTGGTCTAGCTGGATTGCTGTGAAGTGTTGTAGCATTATTTCATTTTGGAAGATAGATGTTGATATGTGAGCTGACCTAGACTAGTTAAATGTAGTTTTTTAGTCACAATGGAAATTACTTTAGCAATTTGGACATTAGAATTCTAAAAACTCATAAATTCCTCATGGTGCCAGCTGACCAAATTCTGGGAACTAGCTCTTTGCTACCTGTGGCTCAGGCTTTACGGCCTCACTGTTGGTGAGCAAATGTGGGAACATTTAGAATTGCACACAATTATGTGTACTGTTAGGTGTAGTCAGTCTCTTTATATGCTGCTGAAGGCATGACTTAGCTATTAACTGTGAAATATTTGTTATTTCTTAGTAGTTTATCACATTATTTCTTTTACTTTTTCAGTTAGAATAGTGAGAGGAAGGAAAAAAAAACAAACAAAAAAACAAACCAAAAAAGCTTCCTTACAGTGAGCACCAGATTACAACCTAAGTATTTTTAAAGCAATGTGTATTCTTCTTTGTACATTTATGACAAAGTAAACATTTCTTCTCGCCTGCATAAGCTAGCACTTACAATAAAAAATAAACATCCGCTTTCAATGCTCAACTCAGCATCTGTTTGCTGAGTGCTGTGAGGTGTTTTAATCTCTGTATGCTGAGCTCTCCGGGCCACATGGAAATAATGAGTGCTAGGACGTATCCACACCTACTGAAATACAAACCCTGCCACGAGTGTGTCTGCCTCTCCACCCAAAGCATGTGATGCCACCGAACTCTGCTTTGGAACTGAAGTGTCAAAACCCGCTTATTGTAAGAAGATGTTGCTGTGCTTTTGACTGTATTTTACTCCTTTGCTCTGACAGTTACTTGTTCAGTGATTAATTATCCATGTACTTTCTTCTTTCCCAGGAAGATTCAGAGAGGGCCAGGTATTCTCACCGCTCTGGCCATCACCGACCTTATCTGGTTTGTAGTTGCATATAAACTTGCCTGTGGTGCTGTTCCTCATTGGCTTCATGTAGTCACAAACTTTTAATATGTTTGCTTTTATTTTTATCAGGGAGTTGAGGATACACTGTCTCTTCCAAGCCTTGGCAGTCACAGGGTTGGTATTCTAACTTGTTTACACCGAATGGCAAAGCTTTTAACAATGAGCTTCGCTCAGCATCAGTGATTCTGAGCAGTCTGACAGTGTCCACTTATGCCTCTGCATAGCATAAGTGAGCAACGCAAATAAACTCTTTAATAGAAAGAGATGCTTTCTCTCAAATCATTGCTAGAAGTGAATTAATTCTAAAATCTTGAATATTTTTATATTAACAGAGGCCTGTTTTTTGCTTTTTGTAGAAATACCTTTGATTTCAAAAAAGTATCACAAAATGATAAGATTAAGTTTTATAGAATAACATCAGCTTTGTTCTAATTTTTAGATTTTTTCCTACTTTCATATTTTAAACAGACAATCTATTGAATGAGAATAGCTTTGGGTCTTGTCTGGCTAATTACAATTATGATTACATGGAGCTATTGACTTGAAAATTTATCTTGCCATATGTATAAGAATTATGCTTTGACATTTAATTAATACTTTGTAATGTGCCAGCCTTTTAGCGTAGATCATTATAAGTAGAGTGAGGATTTGCTGCCTGAAGTCCTGCGTGTTGTGCTGAAGCATGACTTCTCTTCTTCTAGAATTGTGCCTGAAAACAGTGTTTTGCATTTGTGTTATTTATGTTTTTCACCAGTAAAATCATTTTTTCTATTAAGAGATGTATTTGTTCCAACTCTGATTTCCTTCTTACATTCTATAAAAATGTACTGCTTAAGCTGTTCTGACATTTTTATATTTAGTAATACTCCATTACACTCCAAAGCATTGTTTTCTTTTGGTGTATGCAGTCTCTAGCATAACTTTATAAACTGGTTTTAAGTCATAAATGCTCTATTTAGTTACAAATTTTAGACTACTTACAACCTTTTGAAGAAATCTAAGATAACCAGTGACTTAAAGTGGCTTTATAGGGACAGGAAGACTGGCTGTGCAGTTAAAAAGCACTTGTTGCTGTTGCAGAAGACCTGGTTCAATTCTTAGCAGCCACGTGGCAGCAGTTCACAGACTTCTATTAACTCAAGGTCTAGGGTGTCTGATGCCCTCTTCTGGTCTCTACAGGCACCAGGGATACACCCTGGACACATACATACAAAAACACTCCTTTAAAAAAAAAAAAAAAAAAAAAAAAAAAAAAAAAAAATTCTTTTAGGAGGAAAACGTATGCATTTGTCTTTTTCTTTCCCCTTTAAATAACTTTTTAAAAAAATATATAACGAGTCTACCAAATTTCAAAGTTGAGAGTCAAGGACTATAAAATATTCCCCTCTTCCTTATCTGACCAGTTTCTTTGTTTTCAGTTATAGTACTCAAAGTATGAGTTTTCACGAATTTGTTATTGAGTTGAGTATTTGTAAATTTACATATTGCCTTGGAGGAGCTGTGTTATATTAGTTGATCTTCAAGTTTGACCTAAATTAGGGGACTTTAAGTCAACTTCTGAATAAAAGAAATCTGTCGTTAAGCTGATAAGGAACTATTGGAGTGAGTATAAAGCTACCAGGTAGATATCCCTTTAATGGAAGTTATATCAGTAAACATTGGAGATAAAATTGTAATTCTTTTCTTTTTTAAAATTATGGTAGCTGTAAAAAATGTGTTCCCATGGGTAGAAGAAAACTCTGTATTTTTTGAGGTTTATTTTAGGTGTATTGGTTCTGGAATATATATCTGCAACATGTGTGTATAGTGCCCTCAGAGGCCAGAAGAGGTTGTCAGATCCTCTAGAACTGGAGTTACAGATGATGTGAGTGAGCCCCTGTGTGGGTCCTGGGAATTGAACCCAGGTCCTCTGGAAGAGCAGCCAGTGTTCTTAAATGCTGAGTCATCTTTTAGTCCAGACTCTTAGTGTGTGTGTGTGTGTGTGTGTGTGTGTGTGTGTGTGTGTGTGTGTGTGTGTGTTTAAAGTGTGTGTGTGTGTGTGTCTGTGTGTATGTATGCATGCATGCATGCAGTGTTCTGCCTGCAAGTATGCCTGCAGGCTAGAAGAGGGCACCAGGTCTCATTACAGATGACTGTGAGCCACCATGTGGTTGCTGGGAATTGAACTCAGGATCTCTGGAAGAGCAGCCAGTGCTCTTAACCGCTGAGCCATCTCTCCAGCCCAACTCTCTGTATTTTTAAAAGTTAGTGTATGAGTGCCAAGGATGTAGCTAAGTGATAGATTTCTTGACTAGCATGTGCAAGGAAGGACCTGGGTTTGATCTCCATCACTAGGAGAAAAACCTCGTGTGAACCTGAAAAGTAACAAAGGAGGCTGTACTGTCCTTATGTGTATGCATTCAGCATATTTTACATGCATAGACCTTTGCAAAATTAAGTCTGAAAGCTCACTGATAAATTGTATTTTTTTTAAACAGTGTTCTTTGTTTTTTGGTCACTCTGGGAATGGTCCTTGTTCCCAGTGTTCCTTCGCTGAGGCCGGTCAACATCCCTCAGCCTTTGAGATAATTTTGTTTTGTTTTAATTAGATGACATTAGGAATTCCAGCCATTTGGAGTTTTTGTTTGTTGGTTTGTTTTGGGGGTTGGGCCCAGGGTATGTGGTGGACCACTTAGCTATTACTAGCTCTGTATTACTGACTTTTAAATGATTTTACCATTTCCAGTAATATGAATATGTCAGATAGTTTTCGCCCTCTGTAAAAGTAAATATGATGGTCTAAAATGGTGTCCTAAATATTCTTATTGGTTTACCATATAATTTAGAGGCTTCAGTGTTTTTTTTACCCGTGTTTTTAAACTTAAGAGTTGTGTATTTAAAGGGCTTTGCACATTTATTTGGTTTTGAAACATTAGTAGTGTGTGGATGTGGGTCACTTAGGTTTTATGCTGCTTTTTTAGGACTTTGAACTTTCCTTTTGTCCAGTTAGTTACCTTTTAGAGACTACTCTGTTGAAAGGTGCCTGCCAGAAGCTATGTGGGTTGAAAATGCTATAGACATTAAGACTAAAAATAAAAAGGACAAAGGAAGCCTGAGCCTGAAACCAGGATGGGGGTGGGGTGGGGTGGGGGATGGGGAGGGACTAGTAAGTCAAAGTCTCGGACTGAGGAATGAACCCGAACCCTTGTGTGATTGTTACACACGAATAGACTGCTAATAATACGGGTGCCAATAGCTGCCTTAAAAAATACTACAAGTGCTTAATTATTGCTTTGTGTACGGAATACAAGAAGACCACAGTAGAAACCTCAAACAAATAATGTGACTTTGAATCATAGGATAATCACTGTTCTTCATTAGTGGAGATTTTTACTGTTTAGTTACTGTTTATTTAGTTCCTCGCTGTAAATTAGTGGTTTTAAAATGATTGTAGTGAATCCGGTTTTTAAATTATTCTTTAAACTTGCCTTTTGTTTAATTTCACTGAAGAGTTCATCGAAGGGCGTTACTGGGACACATGGTGGCCGAGCCAGCATTACCAAAAGGAGAGACACGATGGTGTGTAATTCTGAATGTGTGCGCTTAGGTTTTGATGAGTTTATTGTTGATTTTCAGGGTTTTGCACATAGGAGCAATGGGAATAGTCTAGTAACATATGAGAGTTTCTGCTTTGTTTTCCTGTGAAAAATTTTAAAGCAAGTTTCTCTGAGAATCAAAACACCCCCCACCCCTAAAATACTGTCTTAGTTTTCATTTCTGTTACTGTGATAAAATACTCTTACCAAAGCAGCTTAGGGGAGGAAGGGGTTTATTTGGCTCACACTTGTAGGTCACTCGTCCATCATTGAGAGAAGTCAGGGCAGGAACTCAAACAAGAGCTTAGAGCAGAAACTATGGAGTAATACTGCTTGCTGGCTTGCTCACAGACACAGGCTTAGCCAGCTAGGATGGTGCTGTCCATGTTGGGTTGGGCCCTCCCACATCAATTAATAAGACAACACTCTCCCCACCCCCCATGCCCATGGGCCATTGCACTAGCAGTTTTCAGTCAAGGCTTTACTTACTCTCAGATAACTATGAGCTTCCTCAAGTTGACAAAACTCTCTAGGAGAAATAGGTTATAAGAGCATACTTGGAAGTGTTTTAGCCTCAGTCCTTAATGCTCTTGATTTTCCTTCTTTTGATAAATCCTTTGTTTTTAAGTGACATTGCTACCAGCTGCCATTTATTAGAAAGTTTCTTTTTGTGTGCCCAGTTGTTAATGTATCCACTTCATGGATTTCCCTACCATATATATTCTGGAATATTTAAAACTAGCTGGATCTTGCATTATATTTTGAAAAAAAATTGGAATAAGTTTTTTTGATTCCACTTATTAAAAATCAGTGCCTTTGCAAAGGCTCTGACAGCTATAGAGAGGGTGAGAAGGCTGGCCTACCTTGTTGGGGTAGGATAATTTATATGCAAGAATGTGCAACTTATATACTGTATGTCTTGGTCATGGATTTTTTTTAATAAAAGAAATACTTTGATTGGGAAGGGAAATAAATTAAACTTGTCTAGAGAAGGGACTTGATTTTTAGAGAACAGTCACATACAGTGTTTTCAGTGAATTTTACCGGTGGTAGAGTTGTACCACAGCCCTATACTAACTGTAATACATTTTTGAGGTTTCTCAGTATGTGTTCTAATGACTGTCTAAATTAATAAAAACAGAAAAGCTTTGTTTCATTTAACTATTATTTTAAAGGCTTACTGAAATTAGATTGTATATTTTTTATCTTCTAAGATATTTTAAGCTTTATAAATGTGAAATATATTTATTCCATTACCTAGTCTATATATACAGATTTCTAGTTCTCTGTGTATATATGTATATATGTATGTGTATATTCAATACATACATATGTAGATATATAAAGTGTATTATTGAAACAAATTTCAAAAAATTATATATAAAAGTATGTATCCATATGTATGTATAAAATATATTTGTTTTTATCATTTTGAGATAAGGTCTCACTGAATGGCTCAGGCTAGCCTTGAATTCAGTTTCCTACTACCTCAGCCTACTGAGTGCTGGGGTTAGAGGTGTGTACCACTGTGCCTAGTCTCAAGAAATGATGACAACTCTTCTGTTCACAACACACTGATACTTTTTTCCTGTGTATCATTTTCCTAACTGCCAGTTAAACTCACTGGATTGACTTCAAGAGAGGATCAATTTAAATTTAGGGAAAGGTTACTTTGGGTCAAGTTTTTGAATAATATTACCTGAAGCCCTAAGTCGGTATAACAATGTAAAAGATATTTTTATAAAATAGTATTTTTAAATGCTTTGTGATATACACAAAGTATTGTTAAGTATTGGAGTAAGATTGTTTATAAACTTGTAAGCTCAATGCTGAAAAAGCATCGTTAGGAGACTAAATCCATTCATTTTCTTGGGTTTAAAACATGATTTGCATATTGAAGGAACCCACATGGAAATGAGCATTCTCTGGTCCTATTCATTTTGCATAGTTTTTTTTATTTGAATTTAATGTCATTTGCTTAACTGTTGTGCATTCCACGTTTTGTTTTGGCTAAGTTTCTCATTTTGTTGAGCATTTTCTTGATGTTCAGCTTTTTAGGTTATGCCTCTAAGTTTCAAAGAAGTACCCTTGCTGTGATTTGAAGATTATTCTTTTTTGGGGGGTGGGGCGTGGGGGTTCGAGGCAGGGTCTCTCTGTGGCTTTGGAGGTTGTCCTGAAACTTGTTCTTGTAGACCAGGCTGGTCTCGGACTCACAGAGGTCCGTCTGCCTCTACCTCTCGAGTGCTAGGATCAAAGGCGTGCATCACCACTGCTCAGCACAAGATTATTCTTTTGTAAGCCAGACTAGCTATGTGCTCTTCCTTGCTTTTGCTAGTTTTCAAACAATGGCAAGCAGTGGTAGCAGTCACAGAGATGAGAAGGAAAGCGTCTTTGACCTTAGAATGGTTTTTAACTTAACATTTAAAGCCTTCCTTAGGCTGTATTGTTCTGAAATATCCTAAGGTTGAATCATCTTAACATTACTGATTCTGAAGTTTGTTATTTGAAAGGAAAATAGAGGCTGAGGTGTATCTCAGTGGTGAAATGCTTGCACAACATGCCCAAAGGCTCCAAGTGCAGCCAAAAGTCAGGGTTGGGGAGAATACAGCCTTCTGTATGTTTAGGATAGGGTTCTGTCTCTAACCCCAAGGTAGCTAGGACTATGGGTGCATATCACTGTGCCTGGCATAAAACAAAATTTAATTACATATGCAGTTTAGCAATAATTTCTACTAAAAAAGTAAAGATTATATCTAGATAGAATAACTTTTGCATTTAAAAATATTTTGCTTTTGAAGTAGCACTGTTTTAATTTTAATAATGTCCAAATGTTGCTTTTTCCCCTATGTTCCTCACTTTGGCAATGCAACCAACTTTCCCACTTTTCTGAACTTCAGTATTATGATACCTACAAGGACAGATCATCAAGGGTTCCGTCATTAGTATGTAATGCATGACTTTTGTTACGTGTGAGATTTTTCTTTCTAAACACTAGTTGTTGCTAATCATAGACTATGACTAACTTTCATGGTTTTGTTACCTTCTTTTGGGGAGAAATGTATAACAAAACAAAAACCATTGTTTTTGCAATTGTGGCATAATCTGTTACTGAAATAATAGCTTTTCCCATAGACTTCAGGATCAGGCTGAGAGCACACACAGTTCAGTAGTAAAGCTCTTCCTTAGCATTGCAAGGCTGTAGGTTTGTTCCCCAATACCACAAAAAACAAAAACACCTCAAATGGACAAACATTTACTGTAAGAGCCGAGATTTCTCACTTAGTAGTTCAGTAGTAGTTCTGTCTTCCACAGAGGAGCACACGTGGAGGTCAGAGGACAACTTGTTGGAGCTGGTTCTCTCCTGCTACCATGTGGGTCCCAAGGGTATCAGGCTTGGCAGCAAGCATCTTCATCCTTTGAGCCTTCTCTCTCTCCAGCCTCTGACAGTGTTCTGATACAGTCTAAGCTACAGAAGCACAGACATGTGCTTCATATCTTGTGCCATAAGCTGGCAGATTACTAAATAAAACATCCAGCAGTGATGGGTGGCAGCTGAAGATGACCAAGAATTTTGACTTGACATACTGAATTAGCTAAGGAAGTCAAACTGGCTTGTTTTCTTTGGGTTATGATTATATTGGTAGATTGCCCACGTTTTTAGGCTGCATAGTTTTTACTTAGATGTTACAGTAAAGTATAAAAGAATATTCACAATGAGAAAATGAGCTTATCCTTACTGTTGAGGATCTGACTATGTGAAGTGGTTTTCCTAGGGAAGCCTGTTGCCCTTGTTTGTTCTGGGGTACTTGCAGCTGCTCTCATTACCTAGATTTGAGTTTATTATCTGCTGGTTGTTGCTGAGTGATAGTCCTGACCTTTGTCCCCCTAAGGGAAGTGATGTTTCTATATAATTATCTTTTCAAAGTACATTGTGTAAGCTTAAGTACATACATGATAGGCATGTCTCTTCTGAATGGCATATGCCATGATCTACTAACTTGGTCTGAGTGCTGGAAAGATGGCTCAAGGGTTAAGAGCACTTACTGCTCTTCCAGAGGACCTGAATTCAGGTCTCAACATCCATGTTGGCTGATTCTCAACACCGCTAACCAGTTGTGGGGAATCCACACCCTCTTTGGCATTTATACACATAGAACATATACACATAAATACATACACATAAATTAAATCACCCTAAAGTATAGCCGGGCGTTGGTGGCACACGCCTTTAATCCCAGCATTGGGAAGGCAGAGGCAGGCTGATCTCTGGGAGTTCGAGGCCAGCCTGGTCTCCAGAGCGAGTGCCAGGATAGGCTCCAAAGCTACACAGAGAAACCCTGTCTCGAAAAAAAAAAAAAAAAAAAAAAAAAAAAAAAAGAAAAAAAGAAAAAGAAAAAATCACCCCAAAGTGTATTGTTTTCAGCAATGAAATGTCCTTTTGGTAAACAATTTACAGCATTGTTTTTGCTTTTAGATAAGATGACTAAATTAGGAGGAGGAATAGACTATTGCAACCTATAGCTTCCTAGAGAAAAAGAAATGGGGGATGAGACTCAAGTGAGGTGTGTAATGAGGTCCCTTGTAGTTGGATTTTTCTTTGGGCCACCCAGCTCACAATTTTGACACAGATACCTATTATTAATTATGAGAGCTTGACTTTAGCTTAGGCTTGTCCCACTAGCTCTTATAACTTAGATTAATGAATTTATTTTCATCTACGTTCTGTCACATAGCTCATTACCCCATTTCTTCATACTGCCCATGCTGTTTTCCTCCATGTCTGACAGGCAACTTCATCTTCTTCCTAGAGTTCTTTCTCTGCCTGGTAACCCTGCCTATACTTCCTTCCTAGCTATTGGCTGTTCAGCTTTTTATTACACCAATTACAGCAATACACCTCACACAGTGTACAAATATCCCACACTAATCCTATAGACATCCTTCTGACTTTGTGTCCTTACTAGGTTCCTTTTAGCTGGCCAGACATGAGGTTAGTGTAGTAGTCATAAGGAGAGGAAAGCGAGGGTGATGTGTCTCCAGATTGCATATCTCAGCCTTCCAAGTTCAGTCAGTCTCTAATGGCAGGAAGTGGGTTGCATGCGTACGCCTTTGCTACTATTTTATAATGAATTTCATTCTTAAAATGTCAGTTCAAGACCATTAAGGGCAACTTACAATTTTTACTTACAGAACTATTCTTACAGTCACACCTATGGGACGAAGAAGCGGTCTTCTGGTTCTCATAAAGACCCCCTGGTTAGTTCTCTTTTGGAAGTTTGATCTAGTTGTGATATGGGCAGCACCAAATAACAAGTGGGTTTCAGTCTCAAAGTTTGGTTTTAGAAACTTGGAATGACTTTCCTGTAGAAACAATAAAGTATGTAATAGAGAGTTCCCATGTGAGAATTTTCAAGCCCTTTCACCTCTGTGAACACACTGCAGAACTAATAGACTTTCCATTCCAGCCACTTGACCAAATGTTTCCGTAGAGAACAAATGCTACAGAATGCTCACTTGGGGTGCTCTGAATACCCCTTTTTCCTTATTGTGCTGTTGGCAGAAATGTAGTCCCTAGCTTGATGCCAATTTTGGGTTCCCATGGGAGCACGGGAGGATTCCGGTAGAAGGGAGGAGGGAGAAGGAAGGTTACTAGAGGCCTTGGTGTATAGGACCTGGGGTTTATGAGCAGGTGAGGTGTGAGTGATGGCGAAGGCAGGGCCAGGAGTGGTGTGGGTGGGTAGAGACACAGCCTGCAGAGGTGTGGGTGGGTAGAGACACAGCCTGCAGAGGTGTGGGTGGGTAGAGACACAGCCTGCAGAGGTGTCAGCAGTAGGAAGGGAGACCCTAAGCCAGGGGTTATACACTTTCTTAACCTCTAGCAGAGGGAGACTTGAAAGATGATTTCTGTGACCTAGTAAACTATTCAGTGGTCCTAGGTTTTTCAGGGGACATTCTTAACTGTAGGATGAGAGTAACTCAGTTATTTGCATTTTATTTTTATCTTGTTTTTAAAATAGTAGTAAGTAGTAATGACCTTGTTTGAAGTAGCTGACCTTTAATGCCTATTCCTTACAAGAGATTTTAAACCATTACTACTTTGTCCCTTTCTTTGCTGTGATCCAGTGCTTTAAAGGCACTGCCCTGGGGAAGAAGGTGCCTTGACAGTATCAGATTTTGTCTGTGTATTCAAATTTTGCCTTGGTGTGTCATTGCATCAAACACATTTAACCTGAGAAAAGTGTGTTAAATTTTGCTTTTTGCAGAGTGGCCTCTATTTTGACCAGAGAAACTATAGCAGTCTTAGACATAGCAAACCTGCTTCTTCTACCTACTACTTTCGGGTTTGTCTAAAGTCTTTTGGTCTCATGTATCTTACCTACCCTTAACACATCTCTAATCTCCCATTTTGCATTTTGACTATTTGTAACTAATCTATGAATGGTTTGGATGTGCCAGTTTTGGTAACTGATTCATATAGTCCTTGAGTGTGTCTTCAGTGAGAACTGTTAAGTCACCACATTTGTAATGAAAGTTTCAAACACAAAAAGAATCTGTACAGTGAATGTCACATACACTTAGATTATACACTTAGATTATACAGTTTATTTTGTTAGTCACATACTTATTTGTCTATTACGGAATCATTCCATTTTTTGTTTGTTTGTTTGTTTGTTTTTAAGACAGTTTCCCTATGTAAGTAGCCCAGGCTCAAACTCAAGATTCTTCTGCCTCAGACTCCTAGTTGCTGGCATCAAGGTGGGGACCACAATGCCCAACTTCTATCTAGTTTTTTTTTTTAAGAATTTAAAATTTATTATATATACAATATTCTACCTGCATGTATGCCTGCAGGCTGGAAGAGGGCACCAAATCTTATTATAGATGGTTGTTAGCCACCATGTGGTTGCTGGGAATTGAACTCAGGACTTCTGGAAGAGCAGTCAGTGCTCTTAACCTCTGAGCCATCTCTCCTGCCCCCCTATCTAGTTTTTTGATTCATTTCAAAATAACCTATAGGCATCAATACACTCCCTGATAGATACGTTTTTAAAAAGTTGGCATGTGAAAATATAAGCTACATATAGGATGAGAGGGATGTTATTATTTGTTGGAATATTAATGCAATGTTAGAATCTCCTTTTTCTTTTTTGTCTGTTTTGGGGCATTTGCTTATTTTGTTTGTTTTTGAAACATGATGTGTCTCTGTAGCCAAGGCCTGGTCATCCTGCCTCAGCCACTCGTATGCCCAGATTGCAGGCTAGTATCACCACAGTCAGCTAGAATCTTATCCTCCCCCCCTCCAAGACATTTAACATTTAAAGCATACTGTAATGCGTGGTACCCTGTACATTTAAAAGTATTCAGGAATGGGAGCTAATCTACGTGATAGAATAATTCATTAGCACTTGCAAGGCTCTGGACTCAATTCCTTGTACTGGAAAACACAGTCCACTTAAAAACCTGTCTGCACACACCATTTCACTATTCTTGTTTGTGTGCGGTTAGTGAAAACTGAAAGTTGTATCTTATGTGACCCCAGGGAAAGAAATGTAATTTCCTTATAAAAAGTACTTTTAGTGCATGGACTCAGGTGGCTGGTGCAGCTTATGTGGTTAACCGCATGCTTTGTCCGTGGCTTGTTTTCAAAGATAGGCTTTCAAATCTATTTGGAAAAAAAGTAGTGATAGCAGTAACTAAGAGCTCACCACCTCGAGTCACCTGTAACATGGCTAAGCCCACTGGGAATCTGTCACAAAATAATTGACGGTGCCCAGAGACTCCTGGTGACTTGCCTGACGCACTCCCTCCCAGTGCTGTAATCCTCTTCAGTGCTTTCCTAGGTCCCCATCTCACACCCTGCCAATCATTTTTAATACCAGAAGGTTGTACATAATGATAGAAGGCTGCTCCAGGTGATTTTCTTTCTCACCATTAACAGTTTGCATTCTAAAGTTTCTAGTCCCTTTTTCTCACTTCATGTCATTTTACACTTCGTTAAGCACTTGGGGCTTGCTAATGAGTTATATGGAGTCTAAAACCATAAACGTAAAACTTCTGTTTGCATGAAGGTGAGGTACATTCTCCTGTGTCTCCACTTTTGCTCACTTGTATTGTTCTGCCTCTTTTTGCAGTCTTCTTCCCTGTGCAGTGACCCACTGGGGACATCTCCGATTAAGAATAGGGTTAGTACTTTCGAGGAGTATGTGGCCATCCCAGCTGCCCTTGCCTTTCTTTAGGTTTAATTAATGCACTTATTCCATAGGCCTCCTCTACTGAAAATTCTGGTCTGCTGAGAAGTGCCAGCCTGGTTTGTATTTCCTTCTTCAAATGTGTGCTCTCTGACGGGGTGCTGATTGAGCTGTGTAGCTTTCCTGCCATGTGTACCGCAGAGTACGCTGCCTGGGCTTAGCCTACAAAATGAAGGACGTGAAAAATAATCCTGTTCTCTTTGCCAACGGAGAAAATGGCTGACTTATGTTAGGAAACTGTTTCCCACAAGGAGATAAACTCACCTGGGTCCTAACCACATTCATTTAGTTTTATTTGGTATAGTTATAACCCTAAGGCTGTGGCAATAAAAGTCTACCAAGCAAACTGAATTAAAAACATAACCAGTAGCTTTATGTGATGTGCCAGTTGTTTGAGCTTCTAGCTGTTGGATGTTGTGTGGCCAGTTTCAGAAGACTAGAGCCCAGAGTGCTTATACCTGTTTACTTCTCCACTCTTGGTTCTTTTATGAGACTACATTAATTAATGTTAGCTTCCTCGTGTTATAGTATGAGGGTAAAAAATACTGTAGTTTTTTTAAAAAGTGAATTGTTTATGTAAGTGAATATAACATGCCATCCTCAAACATTTTTTGAATTATGAACTGCTAAAATAATAAATATATTTTCAAAATAACACCAGTGCTAAATAAATAAGCAATATTCTTTTGTTCTTCAGGCATCATTGTATGATGGTGGATTATATAACCCTTATGGTTCTCGAACTGTAAGTCTAAATGGGAAGAGGGTGGGCAAAGGAGGGGACAGGGAGTCATTTAGTCTGGCCTATTCACTCAGCCAGCTGTGAGAAGGTGACCACTGCAGAGTATGAGTTAACAGATGAGGGGAGTATCTCCTCCCTTTTGAGGGTGGGTGTGAGATGGAGTGCCAGACAAGGAAAGCAGCTATTTCACCTTGGGCACCAGACTCAAGTTAAGAGTAGGGTCACTGTATTCCCAGCAGAAAATCCGAGCTGGCCGTTGTTATAAAGCCTTTCTTGTTTTGAACTTTATAGCCATCTGAGTACAGTTACTACTCATCGAGAGCAAGTTCCTCCCGAAGCAGCCCCGTGGTGAGCTGTTCTGCTTCTCTGCACACTTAAGAGGGTTTAGTTATTCTGTAGTCACGCTTTAAATAGAGTGGTGTGTTTCACTGTCTTGTGCATGGATAATGTACTCCCACGTCCATAAAATTAAATACTAATATGTGCTAATTGTTTGTGTTTGTGTGGACCCAAGTAATTTCTTAACCGAGTCTAGAACCAAGGGCATTGGACAGGCTTAAAGTTTTTGCATTGTCATCTATGTGAAACACTTTGCCTTTCAAGTACTGATAGTTCCTGTCAGGTGTGCTGCTCAGGGCTTTCCCTGCATATGTTCCTGTATTGCCATTCCCCTTGCTCACCAGCCCTTCTGTCTGTGGAGCTGTAAGAGAAGTCAAACAGACCAACTCATAAAGCCTGTTATATATGACTGTTACATATGACTGCATACTCTCTCTGGAACATTAAAATTTATTTTGCAATTTATATAAGTAAGTAATGTCAGTAAAGGACAAGTCCAGAGTTAAGTTCCAGACAAGTCCTTGCATGTAGCCTGTTCACATGCATGCTTTCAGAGATGTTTCGGACATGTGTGAGTGCTTTTCATTTTGGCTTCCTTTCTAGTATGTGTTATTCCTCATGTTCTCTTAAAGTATCTTTCTGTGTCAATGCATACAGATTCATAGCATCCTTTTTTTTGCCATTATTACTATTATTATCATTATTTTAAACAATTAAAGCTATGCCCCCTTTTCAATTATTTTTCTCTTTGGGATAGTTTCATATCATCAAATCTTTTAAATGCCAATGTACTATCCCATGAATGCATAGATACTCATTTTAAAAATCATTTTCCTATTGATGGTCATTTACATGGTCAGACATTTTCTATGTGTACACATGAGCTGTGCATGCACATATGGAGGTCAGAGGTCAAAGTCAGGTGTCTACGCTGTTACTCCTCTCTACCTTATTTGTTTAGACAAAGTCTCACTGAACCTAGAGATCACTGTTTTGGCTAGACTGACTGGCCAATAAGCCTCTGAGAGCCACTTTCCCTCAGTGCACACACTCCCATGCCTGGCTTTTACATGGGTGCTGGGAGTCCAAGTTAAGGCCCTCATGCTTGCACAACAGACACTACCCATTGAGCCATCTTCCCAGCCCTGCGATGAACATTCTTACTCAATTCTTTCTCTGCTTCTGTTTCTGTCTTTTTCTTCCTTACACACCCATACATGTGCACGGATAGTATACTTACGTGAGTATATCTGTAAGATATCAGGAAATGTTATAAATATTAAAGCATATGCATTTAAAAAAAGATTATTTTTGTTTTTCAAGTGTATAAATGTTTTGCCTACATATGCATGTGTGTACCATGTGCATGCCTGTGTCCACAGAGGCTAGAAGAGGATATTGTGTCCTAGAATTGCACTTACAGGATATTGTGAGCTACCATGTGACTGCTGGGAACCAAACCCAGGTCCTTTGCAAGAACAGCAAGTGATACTAACTGCTGAGCCATCTCTCCAACCTTTCCTATTTTTCGAGGCAGGGGTTCTATATAAAACTGGATAGTCTGGAACTTATTCTGTAGACCAGACTGGCCTTGAACTCAGAGATTCACCTGCCTCTGCCTCTGCCTCCCAAGTGCTGGGATTACAGGTGTGCACCACTTTCTATATAGCTCTGGATAGTCTGGAACTTATTCTGTAGACCAGACTGGCCTTGAACTCAGAGATTCACCTGCCTCTGCCTCTGCCTCCCAAGTGCTGGGATTACAGGTGTGCACCACCACGACCCAGCAGGTGTTTACTCTTAGCCCACTGTATACTCAAAATTCTACGTGACAGTTGTCAGACCTGGTGACATTTTTAATATGCCAAATGTAGTGTCCCCCTGCAAAAATTTTGGTAATTTATTTTTTTATAAAAAAACAGCAGTGCAGGTCCGTTTCCTTGTGAGGTAAGTTCTGTTTCATCTGTAATTTGGGTTCAGAATTACTACCTTAGTGATGCCAAAATGGTGTTTTAGTGACATCAGAATGGGGATAAACTATATGCCAAAGATGAGTTGTGGCTGTGGAGTGGGAAGAGCAGTCCTGTGATGGGATTATAGTGCCAGTCTCCGCCAGCTACGGAGGAATGAGTACCAGGAAGTGAGTCACTGCCTCAGGGCTTTGCTGGTATGTTATTTTGACACATGTTATTTCATTTCTTTCCCAAATTGAAATCTTAAGTGTATTTATTGACCTCTCAAGGGACTTTACAGATCTGCAAGTCTAAATAACCATTACTTCCCTAGCTGTTTTTGTCTAGTTTACTTATACCCTCACCAGTGTCTAACTTAAAGAGTTTTGCTTTATTCTTTGTACTTTTGGGAAGTATCTTGATTTTTAGTGCTATTTCATTATACGTTATAGCAGCTTATCTCTTTAATGGTGCACAGTGGCTCATGCCAGTTATAATGCTTGTGTAGAGTGGTCTCCTGAAACTCTCCCAGTGTGTTTATAGTCTGTGAGACCAACAGAGAAACTGAATCTTTTTCACTTTCTGTAGTCCATCGATGGTGACACCGCAAGCATTGTGTCTTCTGGTCCTGCCAGTCATGGGCAAAGGGACAGTGTGGTGAGCATGGTGTGTATGCAAACAAATACAGCTTTTACAGTGGCAACACTGTATGATTATGTGAAATTTACTGCAAAGTGAAATTTGCATTTTCCTTAAATACAGGTTATATGAACAATTTGCTTTGTAATGTGGTCTTGAGAATGAGTCATAGACTCACATGTCTTATGTACAAATCATTTATTGAAAACTTTCTCTTGGGACTGGAGAAATGGTTCAGTGGTTAAGAGCACTTGGCTGTTCTTCCGGAGGACCTGGGTTCAAGTCCCAGCACCCACATGGCAGCTCACACCTGTCTGTAACTCCTGTTCCTGGGGGCTCTGACACCAATGCATATAAAATAAAGTTAAATAAAAAACTTTCTCTTTATTTTTTTAAACATACATTTTATCTGCTTATTTTCCAAAACGAACCTCTCAAGCAAGAGTCACACCTACACCATCACATAGAGCTTGTGTGTAAGACTATGACCTTTGTCAGCTGTTGGTGGCAGGGTTTATAATCAGTCCAGACACTTTACCCAGTTCATCATTGTGGGCGTGGTAATAATTTCATGTCATTCTTTAATGGTACTGGGTATTTTTCGGAGTGACATTTTTGTTCTCTAAAAGGAACCGATGTGGAAATGAGAGCAGAGGACCATGTGTCATCTTGGAGCTAGAATAGAGAGGCCTGTGTAACTGCAATTCCTTCCAGAAAAGGTGCAAGCTCAATTAATGTGGCGGATTGTATACCTAGAGTTCTCATGAAGGGAGCACCACATGTTTGTGTGAGATAACTTGATCTAATTAAAGCCTTTGTGTCCCTCAGCCATCCAGGTAATGCTCATACTCATGGCTGAAGGAGAGGTAAAAGTCATAACCCCGAAGGCAGCGGAAGTGGGCTTTACAGAGATGGCACTGGGCTTGCCTTAACCTCAACTGCCTGTTTGTTGTTCCTGTTCAGTGGAGATGCCAATGGCAGTCTGCTGTGTTGTTAGGCTTAATACCTGTATTCAGTGAGTAACTCTCGAAGACACCTTTCAAACTTCGAAGGGAGTAGGTACTGATACACATTAGCTATAAATGAAGTTCTAAAGAATAAAAATATCATTGGTTGGTCTTGTTAGCCTTTGACAGACTTCATACTTTTAAAACTATTTTGTTCCTATGGATGGGTTTCTGAATCCACTTCTTGGGGTGAGGAATTTTATTTATTTTGGATTTTTCCAGATAGGGTTTCTTTGTGTAGCTCTTGTAGACCAGGCTGGCCTCGAACTCACAGAGATCTGCTTGCCTCTGCCTTCCAAGTTCTGGAATTAAAGGCTTGTGCCACCACCACCACCTGGCTGGGGTGAGGAATTTTAAAGCAAGGCTACCAAATAGCTTAAGTTCAGAATGACTGATGCGTAGGATATAGTCATTTCACAGTTGTTTTATCTGTGGCATGGTGTTAAGTGCCAGTAAAGATGTGTTAAACCAAGGATACATTGCTGACATTATGGAGCTTATGTCCTAGTAAAAGACATAGAACTAAACTAGTAAAGGGAGGAACACAAAAAGAAGGCAGCTTAGGGTATAAGGAAAAGAGCAGGTGCCAGTGATAGGGGACTGGGAGGTGGCTATGTGAGAGTGGCCCTTGGAAGAGTTCTCCGAGACAGTGACTTCTGAGAAGACAGGCTCAGCTGTTTGAAGAGCAAGAGAAGGGATTTCCCAGGCTGGTCTTCCTCATTATTTTGTCCAATTCCTGATATGAAAAGGAAGAAATTATTGTGGAAATTGAGTATTGCCAGAGTTGATAGCTATAAGGAATTATAATATTGTAAAATACAGTAGAGATTTGATAGTGGCCTGAACACTGCCCTCACCAGTCAAAGGCTCCCAGTCAAAGGCTTCCGTGTGGAATGCTTGCCTGTCATGAGCTCAGGCTGAAAATGGTCTGTAGCATAGAATTGCACTTGATAATGATGGAAGAGTTGATTTTAGGGAGTGGTGACTTCACTCAGGTACCTCTTTTCTTTTTTACTTTTTGTAAAAGGTTAGTTGTAAAAGTTTCCTCATTTCATGATACTTTATCAAACATCAAATTAAGACAGGCACCCAATTTCCCAGTTAGCTAGTGTTCTTTTTCCTCTTTCTGACTTTTAAAGTGTCTCATTTTCTCTGACTGAAAGGTCTCTGCTGCTGATTATTTTAGTCGCCCCAGTCGTAGGGAGAGTGTTGTCTCTGAGGTGGATGACGCCAGCCTCTCAGACTTAACCAGCGTGAGTGTTTTGCATGGGGTCCTTGTGTTGTCCCATGTGGGTGTGTGACTAACAGCTTATATAGTAGCTTTTAAAATTAGGAATTTAATAACTCCTTAGACATTTTACTTGCGCATATTAACATGAAACATAATAATATTGGAATATATTTGTTAATATGTACTTAAAAATCCCTCTTTCTCTTACCCCATGGAACCCCTTGTAGAACTCAGTAGCATCATCAGGGATTCCTTGCTAATTTTGTTTGGTATGTTTCTTCACTATTCTTTTTTTCTGAATTATCGTAGAGCCCATCCGTTTACATCATGCCATTTCCTAATAGGTAGTTGATATGCATACCTAGCCTACTATTCCTAAGACCAGCTCACACTTGGCCATATTCAGGTACTTCTGGTTTACTTTTTACCCCTTCTTGGTTTTGATAAATCTATGAAGTGTTAGACTTTAAAAGCTGAATAATAAAGTAGCCAGAAAGAAGCTGAAGAGATTTTAAAGTAGACTCTGGCGTTGATCTGAGGCACCCTTCCAGTGGAAGTAGTGTGTCCATGGAGGCACCTGTGGGTACCCCCAGTTCATGTTCATTGTGACCTGCCTGCTGAGCTCATCTTTCCAGCCCCTCCCCCACCTGGCCTGGCACCACACAGACAAGCCCTATTCTGATTGTCCAGCACTTTGGAGGGGATGAGAGGTTCTTCCTGGAAATGCAGAGATCATTTTTATTAGCATTTTACTTACGGTAGGAAGTAGCTATTTCTGAACTATTTTAATCCTAGAAAATAATCTTAATTATTTTATTTGCAGTCCTAATTATTCCACATTACTAGCTTAATTTTGGCCATATAGCAATCTCATCTTGCTGTGGATTGAACCAAGGACTTTGTCTATTATGAAATTAGAATCTGGTTTCCCAGTTATTCTGAGATTTTATTAACCTGCTTAGTAACCACTTTTTAATTTTTAAAACATTTTCCTTTATTTTGTGTATGTATGTTCATGTGAGCATACGGAGTTGGAGCACAGGTGTAGGCCAGAGAAGAGCTTGCAGGGGTTGGCTCTCTCCTTTTATGTGGTTCTGGGGATTGGGCTCGTGTCATGGGGCTCAGTGGCAAGTGCCTCTTACCTGCTGAGCCATCTCACTGGCCCATTGGTACCCACTTCCCCCCCCCCATAGATATAACTGCATTTACTGTGTATACCTGTTTTCTCTATAGCTTGTTTTCTGTCAGTCTCACAATTCATGATGCCTGAATTAGAGCTTACATTCTTTGTACATTTAGTTCTTGGCAGTTTGCTTTAGTAATTATGTAGCAATAAAGAATGTTACAATTTGTGTTGTCCTACCTCTGTAAATTAAATACCTCTCTAATGTAAGCAAAAAGATTACTTAGAACAGGACTTTTAAAGTTTTCCGTTATAGCCTGAGAGCCATTGCCTTTTGTATTTTTAAGTACCTATAAAATACCATTAATTTTGCCTTTTGATAATGCTCTCTAAACAGTCGACTTTGTGTAACGTAAAAGCCATATGCATTAGCTCACCACACTGAAGCAGGTGAAAGGGCATTTATATTGGTCAGTCTCCCGTCCCCAGCTCTGCTTTTGCAAGATGCTGTCTCGCTGCCACTGTGGGCCCATCGTCTGTTCACAGGGTGACAGATCATCCTGGATGCAGGAGGTGCTGGAAAAGATACCAGCCAGGTCCACAAGACTACAGGATTCATGTGCTATAGCCTCTTGTCTTGTTCTGTAGGTCAGGCTAGAATAAAAGAAAAGAGTGTAAGAGTGTGCTGACTCACTGTTCATTGTGTCCGGTTTTTGAAAGAAATCCTTAGCCAGATTCACTTCAGGAAATCATTAAACCCATTGTTCTTTTCCCTTTATGGTATCAAACTTTCCATGTTTTGTCTGTTTTTCATTAAATAAGTTTTAGATAACCTTGTCATTATTAGGTTGAGCATTCTTAATACAGAAATCCAAAATTCATAATGTTCTCAAATCTTAAAGTTTTTGAGTATCTTCATTATGCTATATAAGTTGGGTTGTAGTCAAACTTCAGTTACACTAAAAATAATATGTAAAATTAACTTATGTGTATAAAGTATGAAATGTAGATGCAATTTTATGTTTAGACTTGGGTACCAGGATATCTCAGTGTGTATCTATGATTATTTCCACAACTGGAAAGAAATCCTAAATTTGAAACACTTCATTTCCCAAGTATGTCAAATGAAGGGTATTTATTAGAAGTAAATGGATAATTGTGATCTAATGAGTACATTAACAAACCACACTGTGAACACTTTATTTAGAGCATGCTTTTGTGCCTTAAGCATGATTAAATTTTATTGCATTTAAAAAGCCTCTTCAGGATCTGGCAGGCACTTCCAGTCATGATTATAAACATTAGCTTGTCATTGCAGTCCACCTGTATAGGCTCAGCCTCAGATGTGAGGCTGAAGGAGTTGCTGGTCTAATCACTGCTGTCACCGTAATTGGGCTGCAGCAGTAAGGATGCTTTCTGCTGGCGTAACATCCTGACCTTTGGCGCATGATCAGTTTGAATTGCGACAGCTGGGATCTGTTAGGAGACAGTGATCATGATAGAGTCAACATTTTGGTGGCTTCAGTGATGCAGCCTCTGAAATGTAAGATTATCCCAAGGTGAAGTCAAGTAAAATGGGTGAGTTTGAGGGTCGTTTTTATAAGAAAGGTGATATGAAGAAGGGTTTCAGATGGACTTAATATTTTAATTTTGAGTACTTCTTTTCTCATTAACTTATTAGCCGAAAAAGAATCAGAAAATACTTATAAAAATAGGCAGTTTATGAAGATATACTTCTTTACTCTTATTTTGAGTGAGGGTAACTAATGGGCAATGCTTGTCACCAGTGCAGCTTGGGGGGGACTCTTCCTAATTTAGAGCAGACAGTGACAGTGTTAAGCCCCAGCTGTCATTGCTTGTTGTTGTAATACATTTTATGATATTTTTAAGTAGATCCAAATAAATTAAAATGATTTCCTTTTGAAAGTATTACAGCAAGAAGTGAAACATCAAAACCCAGCCTTTGTATTACTGAGAAAAGGTCTTTGTTAAACAAGGTAACTGAGTAATAAAAAATACACTAGAAACTTTAACATCTGAACAAAGAAGAAATGCTTCCTGTTTTAGTGACTAACTGAAAAAGGTTTTCAAACCTCTTTCTGGCTGGACTTGGAAGGTTGATCTCAGAGTTCAGGACTGGGGAATACTTTATTTTCATTTAGTTTTAAGTTCCTGTGTCACTTTCCCCAGGATGGCTAATAGAATATGCAAATACATATGAATGCTGGAAGTTCATGGAACACATTCAGATCCAGCTGGGACGGTTAGTAATGGCTTAGCTCTAGTTAGAATTTTGGAATAGATCTTTAAGGAACCTTCCTTCCTGAAGCAAGTCTGGGAAGCCAGGAAAACCTGAGTTAGCAGCAGAAGACAAGTTAGTCTGACTGTAGCATGCTGAGATAACATGCCACTGTGGATGTAACCAAAATAAGTGAAGCCTGTGAGTAGAGATGGGTGGAGTGGATTCTGAGCCCTTATGCACTAGGTGTGGTGCTGTTCCTTGCTCGAGTACAGAGAAGGGTATGCAGATACAAGGCTTGCATGCTAGAGATGAGACAACAGACAAAAAGAAGAGAAAAAAGCAGGTGAAGGGTGTGTCTGTCTATGACACTGCTAAGACTTTGAGAGAAGGGTGTGTCTGTCTGTGACACTGCTAAGACTTTGAGAGAGAGATTTGGGGTTGATTGTCCTTGGCAGCGCAGGGCCTGGTGGGGAGGAAGTCAGATTTTTTTTAAAAATTAATTTTTATTTAAATTAAAAACCAGTCTTATTTTACATATCAATCCCAGTTCCCTCCCCCCCCCACTACTCCCCATCCACTCCTCAGGGAGGGGAAGGGCAAGGCAGATTTCTGACACCCTTTTGTACTGCTTGAGTTTGCTATGTGTGTAAGAAAACATGTTTATATAACCTGCTTTTGGCATTAAATAGTTTTATGCATGCATTCTGTGTCTTAATAATGTTTAAAACATTTTTGTATTGACAGCTGCAGTGCTCACATTGGGGTTTGTATGGTTTTTCTTAATGTATTTATTAAATACCATGAAAAGAAAATCTGTCTAAACAATCTAAAATTTTGAGTCTATGCAGCTTGCTTCCAGCAACGAACTAAAAATTCTTGATATTATAACTTTTCTTTCAGTTTTTATGTGTTTACTTTTGCTTCACACACCACTCAACTTAGAAAACCCTACTGAGATTGCTCGACTCCCCGTAAAGCAAGAGGCAGCATGCTCGCCATCTTCTTCATCTTCTTTCTCTTTTTTTTCTAGTTGGATGAAAAGTCGGACAAACAGTATGCTGAAATTTACACAAGAGTGAGTATGAGATCCCTGATGGGGTGGAGCTCTCAGAGTAGCCCCTGTGCTCCCTATAACTCATCCATCCTGTTCAGCACAACTGGCCAATGGAGCTGCTCTTCCCATTATCCGTTTCCTGTCCTTGACCCCTCAGAATTCCTCCAGCCTTAGATCATGTGAAAATCCTGGGAAGAGAGAAGCCTGCGTTTTATTTCATGGGACGTCATCCCTAAAACTCTTGGCTACTCCATTGATTCCCACTCTCTAAAAACTGATATTGAAAAGCCATTAAACATGAAAATGAAATATCTAGGAACGAACTAACAAACCCATAGCTATGATTTTTTTTCTTATAGATAAGTCCCTTCTATAAGAAAAGTAGGATAACTCCCTTGTAGAGCAGTACCTTTGTAGTAAAGTTTCTGTTTTCTAAATATATTTTTAAGAAACCAGGGAAATGATCTACTGTGTTAAATTTCTTTTTTTGTGCATGCAGAGAGGGTGGGTTGGAACTAGGTTTCTCTTTGTAACCTCCTAGAACTCACTTTGTAGACCAGGCTGGCCTCAAACTCAGAGATACACCTGCCTCTGCCTCCTGAGAGCTGGGATTAAAGGTGTTTGCCACCTTCGTCCGGTTTTACTGTATTAAATTTTGTAATGCAAAGCAAAACTATAAGCCTATGCAGTTTTATTTTTTTAGCCACACTCTAGAAAAAGCAAAATAATATTCAACAAAAAGCAAAAATAATATTCAACCCAAATAACCAATATATTTCATTGTAGATCAACGCAGATGTTTTGTTTTGTGCTGTTTTGAGTCAGGGTCCTCAGATGTAGCCTAGGCTGATCTTCATCCTATTGCTGGAATTACAGTATTGCAAGATGCCACTACCCCATACTCCACTTGAAAGTGGTTGTGATGTATTTTGTTCACTCTTTTTTTCTGTAATAAACCCTCAAAATTTGAGGGTTTATTACAATTATATTACAATTATATATTACAATTATAAAATATTGTGAGCATATTTTATACTCACATCTCATTTGGATTAGCAACATTTCAGGTGGTTTCATATGGCTCTTGCCATATTCCAGCTAGCAAAGATCTCTGCTATTTGTTAAGAGTGTGGTTTTGGAGAGAGCAGTCTAACTTTGTAGCGGCCTGCGATGTTCTTGCTCTTAGTTACAAATAGGTTTATTTTCTCAGCAGAGATGAGCTGCTTAAGCAATGTTAGGAACTGCAGTAGGGTAGTGCTAATTAGACATTAGTTCTAAAGGTCTGAAACAGCTCCTGACAGCTCACCTGAGTAGTTTTGGAGTGTAACAAAGATAAGCCTAGAATACAAAAGCTTCTGTAGAAATTATTTTCACCTTTGGATTTTGAATTTCAGATTCTGATAAAGTGTTTGAGATAATGAAGTGATGCTTGTATGGCTGGCCCCTTTTCTCTCTCCAAACCAGTCTAAACTGCCAATGTGAATTGCACTTGGTAACCTCTAGACTGTATTGTTAGAATGTTTATCTGACGCTCTCACCTTCTCCCACCACTGTGTCCCATGTTTAATCTTCACAGCAGCTCAAAGTGTCATTTTCTTTCTTTTCCAGCCTTCATCTCGAAATTCTGCCTCAGCAACCACGCCTCTAAGCGGAAACTCATCTAGACGGGGCAGTGGAGACACCAGCAGTTTAGTAGACCCAGACACCTCGTTAAGTGAACTTCGGGTAAACCACAGTTTGTCTGCCTTTGCAAAGCAGCTTTGGTTTTTTTTTTTTTTTTTTTTTTTTTTTTTTTTGTAGTTCAGGGAACTTTTAATAATGTGACTTATGAGGAACCTAATAGGGTTTCTGTAAAGACATGGTTATGATAGCTCAAAATCCCACTTGAATGTTTCAGAGCTGATAGGAAGAGAATCAGGTCATTCTTTTTTCAGTTATCTTTTCTGAAGATTTGATGGCATTGTAATGGATTCTGCCAATGACAAACTGTTATGTGATATATTTGAAAGTAATTCTTTAAGAATGACCTTGCCATGTTTTAATTGGAAAATATTTGCATTTACAAAGAACAAGCAGACAATGGAAATTATTAGCCTTTTGAGCCATTATCTTATTACAGTATTGTAGCATTTCATAGTAAAGTATAATATTTGGACAACAGTAATACCTCAGGTAGTAGAAAGTTTACTTGATCCATTAGTTGTGTCTCCACCCTTTTATTTGGAAGATGAGAACATAACCAAAAGCTATGTTGATGTCTTATTTGCTGAATGAATCTGTTATCTGAGTAATGGATCAAGACTTGCGGTGGGGGGGTGGCTGCATTCACTCACTCACTCACTCACTCATTCACTCATTCACTCACTCACTCACTCACTCACTCACTCACTCACTCACTCACTCACTCACTCATTCACTCATTCACTCACTCACTCACTCACTCATTCACTCATTCACTCACTCACTCACTCACTCACTCACTCACTCACTCACTCACTCACTCACTCACTACCTTTGGCCGTGGACATGTAGAGAGACAATCATAGTCTGGCCTTCAGGAGATCACTATTCACTGCAAGGACAAACTGATTTGAGCCAGTTACACTAGTTAATAGTGTACAGTGATACCAAGAACAGGATAAGTTAGTTCAGAAAGGCATCATGTAAATTGGACTAGTAACAGGGAGAGCAAAAGGCTTTTCAGAGAAACAAGCTCAGAGCTAAGTCTTGAAGGAAGAATAAAAATAGAGCAAGGAATCTGAAGGGGAGTCTCTCTTGAATGAATTCAGAGAACTTGAAGGTTATTGCCCGAGCTTAGGATGACAAGGAAGGGGGAGTTGCTGGTGAAAGAAAGCAGGGGGTGGGGTGAGGCAGGTGCAGGTGGGGTGGGGATATGGGGTGCAAATGACAACTGTGCTTACTGGATAGGATAGGAGAGCAGTATGATTGGATTTGCATTCTTAAAAGGAACTCAAGCCACAGTCCTGAGGGAGCAGTAGATGGCAGGAGCCAGGTAACCCAGGCTTGACCAGTGAGGGGGCAGTGGGCAAGAGGGAACTTCCGGGGAAGAAGATGTGACTAGGGTGGGCATTACTCAAGAGAGGGAAGATCAAGGAGGTGTCTTCCTCCCCTCCTTCCCTTTTGTAAAAGTGAGGTTGCTTATGTTAACATGGGTTGGCTTGAGCAGGTGGCAAGGGAGGCTGGGAGCTGAGGGAGAGGAGAGGACAGCTGGCAGCAATGTCTGAGGTGAGAGGAGAGAGCTTCCCTGGGGCATGCCCGTGGCCATGCCTTCCCACTGTCACACGGTAGAGGAGCTTCACTGTGGACTGGGGCAGGTGCCTGTCTGTGACGTGCAGGACAATGGAAAATGAGGAGTTGTAGGACAGTGGCAGGGAGGAGAGTTGGTGGGGTAGTGCAGCTATGCCTTGGAAGATGTCAGTGTTCTTTGAACTCTATTGACTGGGCATAAAAGCTGGGGACCCAGAGTTTGGATAAGGAAAAGTCCGGCCTTTAGGGGCTGCATTCTCATGGAACACAAGGACTCTTCCAGTTGTCTGTTCCAGTACCTGTCATGGTACTTAGCATTTGTTTAGTTTTTTTTTTTTCCTTTGAAAGAATAACCTCTGAGGTGAGATGAGCTTTTGGGTTCTAGTGCCTGACACCTGATGGCCCTCTTGGAAAATGTCTGTTGAATGAATCAGTGAGCACAAGGCTGGCTAACCTATCACAGAGGAAGGAATAGGCATGGAAAGCACAGAGCAAGATGGTCTCCAAAAGTCCATTTTGTTGCCATTGCTGCACTCAGAGTCCTGTTGCAGTTATAGCCCACCTTGACTTTACATGACATGATTGGACACAAGAAATAATATTTTCCACTTAAAAGTTGCACCCCCCCCCCGCCTCTTTTAAAAGAATTTATGGAAATATTTGGAGCAAATGCTCTTCTTATCACTTAAAGATGTCCACTAAATAGAATCTATCATTGGAAATTGTTTTCATTGTGTTTAATTTCCTTCTCTTCCTCCCAAACTAATGTGCCCAGTAACTGATTTAAAAGTAACTTAGTTTTATACTGTATTATGTTTTTTGAAACTTATGCATGAAGAATAAAATTTGCTTCCAGTTATTTTGTATTTTACTAGTTGCATTATACTAAGAAATATTTGTGAAATTAAGCTTACATTTTTAAATGTTATAATTTATATACATTTCACACACACACTCT